AGCAGATTCATCTGCTGCTCGACTTCTGTTACCAAATTCTGAACATCTTACCCCCATATATAATGCAGATAACCCAAACATCTGGCATAAGAGGGAATCAAAATATACCAGAACTAAACTGCAGAACTGGCATGATGCCTTGTGACTACATTACAGATACCAGAATTAAGATACCTCCAGGAATACAAAGCCAACTTTAATAGAGCCAAAGTCTACTTTCCAAGCTTTATATCTATCTTGCAATACCAGTCAGAGATTCTTCAGTTAGCTTCAGGTGAGTTTGTATGTCTGCAGTGCTCAGAGCAATGCACAGCAAATAATCTTACTGTTCCTTTGAAAACCGAGTCAGGGGAGGTAGGATGGTATCCTTTAAAAAAAAAAAAAACCAAAACAACTATTAAAAAAAGAGAAAAAAAACAAAACCAACTTTACAGTGTAACTGTGCAATGAAGTTTTAGATAACACAAAATTCCTCCTACTCCACAGAGGGGTGGCTTTATGCCCAGAAGAGTTTAATACCAATAAATTAGAAAAATTTTGCATATTCCATAATTTGATAAGACTGTTGCAGACCATCCTTTCTATTGTCTCGCCTCCACTTCTCCATAGGAAGTTGCATGCTATCAAGGTAAGAGAGCTTTTACATCTCTATGCTGTAGCAAGCAAGCATGACTATTTTCAAATCATGGATAAAAAGTTAGATTAGAAGAGGTTGATCTAAAAGAAAAAAAAAAATTCCAACTGGGAAGTTCAGCTAAGAAAAAGTCATCCACCCAAGGCTTCTTCAGGAGAAGTAAAACCACAGCAACCAACAGGTTACTAGAGAACAAGAGAGATCTAGTCAGTAAAATCTACCTTAAAAGTAAGACAGAGGGGCTTGCATCTTAAAAACTCATACAACATGAATTCTCACTAAGACATGAAAAATTCTTAAAATCCACATCTGGGAAAAAAAAAGAACACACTTACTTTTAGTAGAGGAATTCAAAAAAGGACCCTGTTTATGCTTAAGGGAGCAGTATTTCACCTGCACACACAAATTTACTAGACTGACCACTACAAGGAAGAGAGCTGATCAGCATCTGCCACTGCAAAATTACAATGCAAAACAAGAACAAACTTTTGAGAAAGTTGTCACACACAAACACAGAGCAGACCTTTATGAAAAGCCCCATTGTCCAGGGTCTTGGGAACCTGCTGACATGGAGAGAAGGAATTATGTTGATGAGTTAGCTGAAGGGTTACTTGTCTGGCAGATTGAGCCACAAAGATCAAGCTTAAAATGACTTGCAGTATTCACTGAATTCCCTCATTTAAGGGGATCCTGCCACAGACTAGCAGATAGCTGTATAGCGTAGCCTGCATGATTCCTTTATGGCAATAATCTAGCTGAAATACTGTGCTATTTTTTGTTACATTGTGCATTATCATACTTGCAAATGTGAGCAGCACAGAACATAAATAGGATATGGACTTCCTGAGAGAATCTTGTAAAACAACACGTGTTGTTAGTGTGTTGAAAAACACCTCTTAACAGAAGTTCAGAATGTGAGTGACAGTCACGGAGAATTAATCAAAATTTGATACACATTGGATTATATTACCTGCAAAGAATACAACATAATGAAAAACAAGTCCACTGTCATTAGCCAGTGAAGGTAAAAGATCATGTATCTAACATAAGAAACAAACGCAAACGTACAATATGGAACAGAGAGAAAAGCTGTTCATTTGGGGGAAAAAAAAAGCCATGCTAGGATGGATGAGAGGGAAAATTAAATCAAAGGCACAAAGGATTACTGACTTAGAAAAACAGTAGCATGAAATTGGTCAACCACATTTTTCCATTTGCAAAATGTCACACATTTCATCTCAGACCTGTTTAGTTAGTTTTATAAAACACAAGGGAAGGAAAGCTGTAGCAGAAAAAATCCCCACCCAACAATAACTGAACTGTTGGGAGTTTTCATGGGTTTTAAAGAACAAAGTAATAATTCTGAATATGTCAAAGGCTACATCTAGAAGCTTTGACATCCCCCTATTAACTAATTACCTCTGACAACTCAGTAAGTTTGATGAAAAGGTAAATACAGTGTTGCATGACTGCTACTTAAAAAAACGTGAAGCAGCTGAATTCAAGCCCTTAAAGTTTTTCTTAACTTTGAGAGGTAGCACTAACAGTACACAAGGAAATAACAGGCTTTGCACATGCTCTGCCTATAGGTTAAGTATGCTATTTGTCATAAGACAAGAGTAGTCTTAGACACATCCCTACGATAAGAGATATACATACATTTCAGCTAATTAGCAAAAACTGAAGACCTTACTTCTGTTCTGCTATCACAAAGAGTTAGCATGTTTGAAATTGCAATCTTCTTATTCACTAATATCCTTAAGTTCGTAAAACAGCAAAAGCTAGAAGCAAATCTAGCAGCCTAATACTTGGATTGTAGGGCTTCTATTGATTCAGTCAATCTTTTACAATTCCTGCAGCAAAGGGGATTATGTTGATACTTTTTTAAAGACCTTTGAAGTGACCAGCTTTAAAAGAAAATTAAAAAAAAAAAAAAGGTTATTTCTAAAGAGAATCCTCTGTAACATTGATATTTGCTAGACTTGTTTGATTGAATACACACTCTCTCTCTGAAGGTGGAATAAAATCTTGAACTTTAAAGAAAAACTAACAACTAAATCTGTGCTTAGGTCTGTCCAAAGGAGAGCAGTTAAAGGACTGTGCAAAGCTACCAGACAGCCTTTAGATCAAGTAAAACAATTAAAATCAGTATCTTGTTTTCACCGGCTTACTCTACTCAAAATGCCCATGAGTTTAAAAAAAAAAAAAAAGACTAACAATATGTAGTGCTGAGTGTGACAAAGATGCAGGGATTGCTTGCGCTACTCCCAGAGCAACTGAAGAACATTTTTATTCTGTGCTGGGAGGAAACGGGAAGGATTTCGGTAAACCTCTGGAGCCTGTATGTTTCTGTACACCACTGCACTTGCAAAACCTCAGGCCAGCTAACAAAGAATTATGCAATAGCATAGACTAGCAGAGGCCAAAGTACCCATCTAATCAGGGCTTGAGCCTCTACTTTGAAATAAAAAAAGCCCACTCCAGTCCCTTGTCTAAAAGCACAACTTCACCACACTGCAGCAAACTTTACCTTTGTTTAGAGAAAAAAGAAAAAAAAAAAAAACAAACACCAAAAAACCAAAAAAAACAAACCAAAAAAACCTGAACAACATTCAAGGGGAAGGCCTGCAGATACTGGCTAGCAGAGTAAGTCTACAAACTGCAGTGTGTCAGGCAAAAGGATTGTACTTCCCGCTTCCAAAAGGACTGGCAAAAGAGTCCAGTTTATGACTGAATTCTATAAAAGGCACTGAACTGGTAAATCATGGGATGGGAGAAGGATCATAATAGATTACATATGGCTTAATTATACCCTTCAGCAAATTACGACAATCTCATCAAAGAGTAAGATATGGCGCAAAGAGACCAAAAGAATCAAGCTCTTACAAAGTATTCTCCTTTAAGGACAGAAACACTCCAGAACAGCTTTTGGAAGTTCTTCTTCCACAACAACAAAACTTTTTTTTCCATTTCCAGTTCTATGAAGAGAAGCTTTAAAAAAAATTCCTCTGAAGTTTTCTTCTTGTCTTATCACACTTGTGTTTTATATACTAGCACAGGTCTGCAACAGTGCTACCAATACAGCACTACAATTAACAGCAGTTAGTGCTTTTGGACAGGAGTAGGGGATTTCTTCATATCCAAGATTAAATCATTTAAAAATGCATGAGTTGTACTAGATGTTGGTAGCAACAGGAATCAAGAGAACATTAACTGTTAAAAAGAATAGCACCAAATCCTCTGAAATTTGGAAATTGTCCCACGTGAAAGACAGAATTAAAACTGGCACTGGCCTTAGGATCTCCTCTGGGAAAGTGACAATTATATCCATGAAGGACCTGTAGAGATGAGAGACACCAGCCTGGTGCAGAGCACCTGGTGTCCTCAGAGCTGAATGCAGGGAACCTCACAGCTCTTGCTTTCCCAGTTGCCAGCCAGAGCAAGAACCTGTGGACTCAAAGCTCCTGACAATGCAGATCAGGCTCTGACCCCTCTGCTAAAATGGCTATCCCCACCAATCCTTGTCTCTTCTATCACCTGTCTCTTCATTCCACCTTCACTGCACCCTTTCCCCTCTTCCTGTGTTCTCATTCCTTTTGTCCCCTTGCTTCACCCTTCCACATCTGCTTATCCTACTGTAGCCTAAAGTGAGGCTACAGTAACACACTGCAATTAAAATTACTTTCAGCAGGGTCCCTTTCGACCTGCATCCATGGCATCAGCATCCAGCTTCAGGACTCCACATCCAGCCCAGATTCAGAGAGAAGCCACAGCACTGAAAACTGACCACGATGCAGGTGCCTCAGTTGCAGAACATGTCATCAAAGCCAACTATATGCACAATAGTTAGGTTCGGCTTACAAAGCTTATGCTCTTGTTTTTCTCCTCTTACATTCCCTTATTAGAGCACAAGCTCTTTGAGGCAGAGATTTCTGGCTACCTGTTTTGCAACATGCCTAGCACAGCCAGACCCCATTACAACTGTCAACCAACAACCATGAATGAAAACAATTCATATGGCAAGTGACAAACTTTGAAAATTTGCTTCTAGTTCCGGTTAGCCAGGATGCTTTTCCCTTAAAAGGAAAAGGCAACAATAGGCTACACAGTGCAGGAATTTGAGGTACAAACAGTTCGGCCTGCCTGCTGGAGAAAGTACAGATCATGGATTTTTCCTCAATTGAACAAAAAAGTTACATTCTGAGTTTCACTTTCAGGACTTTCAAAAATCTTGTCCCCTCTCTACTCAAGAAAGGTTTGACTGAAGGGAAGGATGACTCCACAATCGCACAAGAAAACAAGACAACATTCATTTTTTCCAATAATAGTAATTTCTCACAGTTTGGTTGTAACAATTCACCCTTACCTCAACTTTGCTTCCTGGATCATGAGCTGCAGCAGCAAAGTAGACCACCTCCTGTACTTCATCCCTAGGCCGTGCAGAGTTCTTTCCAAACACCACCAGCCCATCTTTAGAACATGGGGGAAAGGCTACAAAACAGTAACTTGGGGGAGCTGCAGCCATCCTAGAAAGGAAAGGAGGCATAAAAAAACAGAAGTAGTGTTTGCTGAACTCATAATTGCATGTATTAGAGAATCCTTCAGTCTACCACTGTTTGCTGCAGCAAAGAGACAATGCATTCCCCTCTACCTGTCAGTTGATTGTGCAATGATAATGGAAGAACAGGTCAGCTCAGAGAAAGCTTATCTGGATTTAATAAAAAGCATTATAGACATTTTCAGACATTTTTCACCCAAGCCTTGTGACGGCATAAAGAGGAGAAATAAAAGGCAAGATGACTGTACGTCAGTGAATCTACTTAGTCCCCACAGAAAGAAAAAAAGATACTCTGCACCAAAGCTGTTCAGGAACGTATGACCTAGATGTATTCTGCTGACTCAGACAAGTGCAGAAACACAGATTAATTTTAAATAATTTACTCTCTGCTCCCATGTAGTTTAAAATTTTAAAAAAAGAAAAAGAAAACATGTTGGAGGGATTCCTGAGGCGGGACAATGGTGTAACTAGAAACAGAACAAAGATATATATAGCACAATTATATAAAAAAACTGTCCATCAATTTATCTACTCAGATCAAAGAGAGACTGAAGCACTAATTGAATTTTACTTCCTCTGTGGTTTGTCTGCATTGCTGGTCTTGCCTGAAGTTAATTGATTGCAGTTTGTTTGTTTATGCAGGCTAACGTGAATATTCTTTAAAATGCGTATAGGACAGCACAAACATTTTAAGATTTTAAGTGTTTGCAATGAAAATATATTAATAAAAAATGTAAAGTGTTTCTGGACTATGACACTACTGTAACTAGTCTTGTGTACATTGCCATATCTGACATTTTTTTTTCCCCCCACTATTCAGGGAAACTCCTGGCACATATGCCTACAAAAGAAAAAGGTGCAGTGTTTATTGCTTGTTAAAACAGCACTCAACACAGATGTCTGAGATTTCTGCGTAGATCTTACCATTACATCAGGAATTCCAGCCCCAAAATGAACAAATATGTCCCTCTTCTCCCTCCATAATATCCTGAACAAGTAAAAATATCTGCATACATTTGAACTCCTTAGAAACAATTAATAGAATCAAAAGTTTCCCCGCAAAAGCTGCTAACTTATCTGAAAGACAATGCTGGGGGTGGGGGTCTATGCAAAGCTGGTTTTGATCACTAACTTGGACATCTTTCAAACCATTCCAATTTGACTTATTTTTTTTAAAGCAGTACCATTTGAGCACATACTTCTCACAAAATAGCAGGCTTCTAATATTAAACCAAAGAAAGAATGCCGTTTGGATAAAGGCTATAATCCATAAAGCAGTAATTGATTGTGAGGAAAACACTTAAGAGTTTGCCTATAGACTATGAACAGGTCACACTGACGCTCAACTTTGCAAAAAAACTTCAAGAGATGTGTGTTAAAGGTGTCCTCTACAAAGACAATGTGGGGTGACAAATTGCCTAGGGAATTCACACAAGCTTTTAATGTAGGTAAGATTATATACAAGAATAATCAGCCAGGTGATTTGAAAATGCATTAGGAAACAACCCCTTTTTACAAGCGGAGTTTTGACCAGTGGGAAGGGACAAGCTACTAATAAGCTGGAATGACTTCTCAGCTGATAAAATGCATCTGGCAGAGGACACCTACCTGCAGACTTGCATATTGTGCCAGTAAGTCTCAGTACATTATTGGTTCTAGATGAGTGTCTTGCAGACAGACATGAAGACAAAGCCCCACTTTAATTACCACTCATCACTTGCGAGTCATCAGAGTATCTATGATTAAACTGAAATACAACATGTAAAGCATTGCCCAGACTTCCATCGCTAATTAAACCATTTAGTATTTTGCTATGAATTATCCCAGTATGTACATTTATTTTGCAGTGTTGGTGACGTCAACATAACTACTTTCCAGCACCCTAAGAGTTCACATCTACCTCCAGGTAAGTCATCATTTAGTGCTCTAAATTTATCTTCTGATGCCTTGCCAGACCAGCCAAAATCTTGAATAACTCACAGGCTTACTGTGGATCTCAGTATTCAAAAGAAATATTTTTGTTATGCTAAACACAAATTAAGTGGATTTATTTGAAATACATAAGGCAGCAGAAAGATATCACACATCCAACAGCCTAGAAAGGTTAAAGTGATACACAGTACTAATTTTTATCACATGAAGTTCTTCAGCTTACATACCAAACATACTGCCAGGTAGGCTTAAAAAGATGGGAAGGAATGCTTCAGCACTATGTTACTGAACAAACTGGAAGGTATGCAAGGCAGACTTTTACATACCTACAGACTGAGCGGGCAGGGAAAAGAACTGAAAACCTGTAGGTATCCAATATTCTACAGACTCCTGAAGTCCTCCCTGGAATAAAGCCGGCTGATTTGTATTTGTGAGGTTTTTATTTTTTCCTTTGAATATACCAACAGTTACCAAACCAAAAACAAATTGCTGTTTTGGTAATGCTTTTTCGGTATGAGTGCCACGGTTTAACCCCGGCCAGCAACTAAGCACCACACAGCTGCTTGTTCACTCCACCACAATGGGATGGGGGAGAGAATCAGAAGAGTAAAAGTGAGAAAATTCATGGGTTGAGATAAAGACAGTTTAATAGGTAAAGCAAAAGCCACATGCACAAGCAAATCAAAGCAAGGAATTCATTCACTGCTTCCCATGGGTAGGCGGGTGTTCAGCCACCTCCAGGAAAGCAGGGCTCCATCACACGTAACGGTTATTTGGGAAGACAAATGCCATCACTCTGAACGTTCCCCCTTCCTTCCTCTTCCCCCAGTTTATATACTGAGCATGACATCATATGGCATGGAATATCCCTTTGGCCAGTTGGGGTCAGCTGTCCTGGCTGTGCCCCCCCTCCCAGCTTCTTGTGCACCTAGTGGAGCTGAGAAGTCCTTGACTGGTGTAAGCACTACTTGGCAACAACTAAAACATCAATATGATATCACCATTATTCTCATCCTAAATCCAAAACACAGCACTACGCCAGCTAGCAGGAAGAAAATTAACTCTCTCCCAGGTGAAACCAGGACAACGACTAAGCTACTCTGTAACTACACACACTGTATTTCATACAGGGGGGTATATAACAGTTAAAACACTGCAAGCTGAATGTTACAACCTCGTACTGAAAACATGATTGTCGTAAGCGTTGGCACTGGGATCTTAAATTAGGTTTCTAGAGAAGGAAGCTGGGTAGCAGCCTACTACAGTTTAAATCTACTCAGTTTGCTAGGTAGCAGTTTTTTCTAGAACCTCATTTGGTTCATTTTAAATATGGCAAGGACAGCAGTTTCTCAGATGACACCCACAGCCTATGTTTGTTCAGAACACTATTGAACTTCATCTCCCTCCATCATGTAACTAAAGCAGTCTGTTAGCAGCTACCTATCTAAGCAGGACATTTCTACTTGCCTGCTTCATTTTCCTTTTTTCTCAGTTCAGCTTCAGGTTGTCCACATTCTCATTTTCACGCATTTGCTACCTTTTTGCCTTCTTGCAAGATACCATCCTGATTCAGTACCAAATAAGCATCTTTCATTTACAGGAGAGACAGAATACTCCTCCTTCACAGTACCTCTGATAAATCAGGCTAACTTACAAAACCACCCACTTGCTCCTCCAGCAAAAGGCAGTCCTGAAAACCTTAGAAAACACTGGGAATGACTGCAAATAGATTTCAAAGAACACCTTGTTGCCCATTCGCAGCCACAGTTCTTTGCCACAGAGCATCTTAGCATACAGGCCTGATTTTCTCAGCAGATCATACCTCAGCCCTACATTTCGGTGCAGAGGTAAACCTACACTGTATGTCAACAGGCCCTAGATTTGATTGCAGACCACTACACTCATGGATGGGCCACTGCAAGTTAAGAGAAACAGGGACTGTACAGTTTATGATAGGCTATATCCAAAACCATTCTGTGTATGAAAGCACTAAAAGTAGACAAAGAGCTGTACATTATGCTACATACATTATGCCACTACATAATAACTGCTGCAGTTTCAGGTAGTTAACGGGCACTTGGTTGACCTAGAATCCCTACAGGCACAAAAGTTGGAAACCCAGTTCTGAGTGACAGCCACAAGGTAATATACTCCACTCACTATCTTTTTGTTTGAAAAAAATGTACTATGCAATATTGCACACAGCCATATTTTCCCCAGAGTCTCCCGGTCACTATGGCACTTAGCTTAGTTTGTGTTCAGACACTATGAAGCAGCTTTGTTTAACAAGTTCCTTTATTAAGATCTTCTCTCATTGTGATAAATCTCCTTTGGAGACCGCCAAGCCAAATGAATTCCATGAGCACATCACCATTGCTATCAATGGTAAAACAGACAAGCTCGTAACTACTCTGATGCAGAAAGAAAGGAGTAACATCCACTGGGCAACATCTGGCTCCAAACATCACAATGTGAAACAACCGGTACGACAATTATCAGGGCTTTATAAAGGCGTCTAAACATCACTACGCTCCTGGAATAAGGTGACACAGAAGTGCTATTGCCTACCACCACCTCAAGAAAACTAACCCATAAATCTTGGTAAGATGTAAAATACTATCTTCAGGTTGAAAATATCAAGATCTGGAACATTTCACTCAAGTATTTTCCATTTCACAGTATAAGGATCTTACAAATGGTAATGTGTATTAAGAAGGGTCACAAATACTAATTAGAACACCTCGCACTATTAGTGTCAAAATTTGTCCACAATCAGGCTTTTAGAGTGGTCAACGAGGAATAAAATTGTTATTCTTTAAGTCTGTACGTAAAGGTTGTAACATAATCTAATGAAAGCTTCCATTTAGACGCCTTTTTCACTTATAAAAAAGGAACAGACAAATAATGCTGTTACAGCAACAGACATCCCAGCCCCCCTCACAAGCACACGCCTGTCAGAGACTGAAGCCATGCTCCTAGGAGAACAGGGACAGGCATAAATTATTCCGTGTAGTTTGGAGCCTTCCCCCCAGCCC